CTCTGAATTTGGGTACATATTTATCGGTGATGGATTTTGAACCAATGCCGTATTGGAAAAAGGTGTGTCCTGTGATTATAAAATTGGAAGCAAATTAGAAGGAAACATGGTTAGTATCATTTAATGGCACTCCGCAGTATAATCAGGCATTTTTTAAATATTTACTCACATAGTCAGGCGGTGCGGATGGCTCATTTCCATTTAATTGTTGATTTACTCCTTCGATGGCCATGATTTGGAAATTTTTAATCTCTAAACATGAAAACAAATCAACTTAATTAATTTTTCAATGAACTCCACTCGGGTGTAAACAAAATGTTAATAGATAGGTTAATAATTAAGGATTGTTGAACTATTTGTGTCTATCAATGACCTTTTCAGTACATTATTTCAATTAAGAAGTTTGGTATGATGTAATATGCGAATGCGGACGTCCGGCAACGCATTCAGTTACCGCTGTTCGTTAATGTCATAAGTCGCGGTCAATGCCAAATTTCAAATTGAAATAATTTGCGGAAAGTTAATCAATGAATGATACATATTTTTTTGTTTCTTCAAATTACGCAAATGCCCCTTTTCATACTCAATTTTTAGAATGTTCGCCTTGGAAAATTTAATATCTTTTGTTTGATTTTTTATTTTTTTTTAATTTTTTGCCACTTTATAACTCCTTGACAACAAAGAAACTTTCAGAAAAAAGCAAAACCAAATAAGTTAAATTATTGTGAACTTTCTCCGTGTGACTCTCCTGTTGTTAGAAAGAATGCGTACTGTTTCCACCTAGGCCGTTTTAATATTCCCCAAAGTGTGACGCAGATAGTCTTAAAAAATACACCAAACATTATATAGCATGAACGTAATTTCGTCCAATTAGATTCCGACATAAAGAGATTTTGCTGGTTTTGCGCACCCGCATTCATAATAACATATACGTTCGTTATAAAGTATTCGTTGTGTGTTAATGTGTGGATTGGTTTGAATCAATATTTCGTAAATGGATGAACATGAATTTGTTTTAAGAATCGCGACATTTAGGCAGTGTTGCCAATCTCCTGCTCTCGTATCAATAATAAAATGCACGGTCAAGTTTATTTGAAAACGTTTTTATTACGCCATATGATATACAATTTCAAGTAATTTTCAATTGAATAGAATCAATTTAAATAAATGTCGCAATCCAATTAGTTATCGCTTGAAGAATTGCGATTTCTATCTCTTTCGTAAAACATTGAATTCTGCGAGAAAAAAAAACGTGAGTTAATGCGTTTGAATAAGTTAAACATTTAACATGCAGGCGCCAAGAGGCGGTAATACATACAATTAACATGCAGGCACCAAGCATAACGGCTTTCATTCGAACATCCAAATCCATTGGGAAATTAATACCAAAGTAATCGGTGTCTATGAACAATTCTCGAGCTAAACCAGACCATTGTTTTGATATTTTGCCGACTTTTGTTCCATCCAACGAAAGGATCTGCAATTTAAAAGAAGAAAGATGTATGAAGAATTGTGTGAAAGTTCAACCAGATCATGCTTACATTAAAATCAACATCGCCACCACAAGAAAATGTACAAAGTGGACCTTCGATTCGCAAAACTGTTTCCCCCATATGGTTTTTGATCGAGTAATGTGGATAGCACAAGGTCCATTCCTGTTTAATGTGTCCAATCACCTGACCGGGTGGAGCTGATACTTCGATCGATTGCAAACAACATGGAAAACAACAACTCGAACAAGCCAACGGACGATAAAAATGAATGATTTCATTTTGATGAATATCCAACACCTTCATCTCATAAGGACGAATGGACCCGAAGCAGTTACGCGTACAACAATCATTGTTTTCAATGGCCCAGTAAATCTGATGTTCACGCAAAAATTCATATAATGAAAATAAAAATATGACTTTTGAATTGTGGGAAGTGTAGTTTTCTTACATTTTGACCGAGTGCATTTTTCACTTCGAACTTATTGTTTTGCTCGAAGCCGGTAAACACTTCCAATAGACGAATCTTTTGTTTAATCAATAATTGATCAATCAGCGTCAAATATTCAAGACCTAAATTGTTAGAAAATTAAAATACGTCACACATCAAAATTTGGTTTTTTGAGGTGAAAATAAAGAATCGCTTAAAAAAATCAATAAACCTGGTGGGCAATTTGGTATTCCTATCGGAATTGTCATCCAACCATCTGCAAATGAAAATAAGCGTTAGTATTACTATTCATGGGCACATGATGGTGAAGGTCCGGAGTCTTGTCCCTTAAACTTTTCGAGTGAACACCTCCTCAAACCGGACGAAAAGTAATTTGCTAAAAAAAATTGATAGACACCTTAACTTGCCTACCGCGTTCATGTCTGGCACGTATAACAACATAAATCATTCTTTGAACAAAATTGTTTGTGGCAATTCGTACTTTGGGATGGATTGCTTGTAAACAATGTGCGACCGTCACATTGTTTTCAACTCAATTGAAAGTGTTGGCATTTCATTATCAACTATTGAATATTCATTAGATTAATAAATATTTCATTGAAACATTCGGTCCAAATTAACGAAATGTGTTGATAAAACGATGACTCATTGCGTAAGTTGTGTCATACTCGAATCTAATCTATAGCTTATCAGGTTACTTGAATCACATTGATTCAAAACAAGTTTATACGTTCGTTAGACTGGTTCAAAATAAAATTGAATTTGTATCGCAATGTATCCAACGGATTTCGCAACAATCAATTTTGAATTACCACCAAAAATGTTACAAATTTTACCATGAGGTTTCATATCTGGCTCCGAATCTAGAATCTTCAACTTCGATGCCTATCTTCCTTGCGAATGGTTTTGACATATTTTGTTGGTAGAAAGATTACTTGAACATGACCTTTTTAGACAAACTTGCAGAATCCGGTGCAAGATGCAAAAATGAATATTTTTTGAACCAATCTAACTTTTAAAAGGGCACTAGAACTTTATGCAAAATATGAATCATTAAACCTACGCGGATTTGAATTTTGTTGTGATGGCACTGCAGTTATAGTTGTTGAAAATTGATTGTTATTGTCTGGATGGGGATAATGATCCACCGGAATCGTAATTGGCGCTGTTGACGATGCATTCTGAAAAATTGTCATGGCGGTTAATTTTAATTGAATTGATAACTTTGATTGAAGACTTGTAAAGCAAACACTCCATTTGATGCTATTTTTTACTCGTTTTTAAGCAATTCAAAACTTTTTTTTTCTATTTCTATTTAAATCAAATTAGTTCTTCAAAATTGACCAAGAAATGGTAAATCAATAGAATCCTTCTTGTAATGATTTTTTTAAAAATCTGGTCACTTTATTTTTTTTAAACGAAGAAAGCGAACTTTACATATCCTTGTGCGAATGAAAAATCGTTGTTTGGTAGTGGTGGTTTTTGGGTGTTGGTATAATTGGCCATTTAGATAAAATTTCACTATGGGACGAAGAGCAATCGAAATTGTCGACTTACTTCAGCTATTTCAAAACAAAAACTATACCAATCACGTTGGATTGCTCTGTACTTACTATATTCAAAGTAAATAATCATATCAGTTAAAACGTAATCTATCTGATATATTTTATCGAATGAGTAGAGTGTCTTTGTAAGTCCAGTATTGCGCAAATATAGCGATACTAGCTGTTGTTATTCCATTATTCAATTGTTTTACTGAATTGAGTGAAAACACTCTTTAAATGAAATGGGATGGTGGTATTTTTCGTTGAGGTTGGCTGGTTCGAAAGGCAAACAAAAAGTTATTTAATATGTAGATGTAGATAAAATGTCTTACATCCGTAAGATGAACTTTTCCGCACTGTGATCCACGACATGAAAGAAAACTAAATCTGACATTAGTTTTAGATAAAAATAATTTTTGAAGCACTTTTCTTACAAAGACTACTAAAGATGGGAATTTTTGTATCGGAGCCATGCCTATATGATATCGTAATCATGTGAAAATTTGCAGAGGCTATTTTTTTCACAAATAAAGAGTCTTACGGGAGTAAGACGAACTTTTCCGCACGGTGGTAGTTGCGTATTTTATTAAGAAAGTTCAAAATAATATTTGCTCGATTCTTCAAGTCTTTCAAGCGGCGTAAAGTTCGAGACCAAAAAATATTTTTCAACTTTGGCAACGAAATATTCTTTAATTTAATAGCAGAAGTAGCCAAGAAAAGATTTTTCACACTTTCATGATGAACCCATTTGTACGACATTTGAAAGTATTCTATTTTCCAACAAAATACTATAAAAATATGTCTGACGTTAATTTTGCCATAAAGATTATTTTTGAAACACTTTTCATAACTAAAGTCACAACAAATTTGGATTTTTGTATGGGAGCCATGTCTGTATGCTACCTTAATGGCGTGAAACTTTGCACAGGTTATTTTTTTCACAAATAACATTCGGAGGGTTTGGAGAAATTTCAACCAAAATCAAGAGTACCTCCCATACAAAATATTCGTTTTTGAGCCAATTGAAAATTTTGTATGGGAGGTACCCCTTATTTTAATTGAAATCTCTTCAAATTTTCAGAATGTTATTTTTTTGTGTAAAAAATAGTCTGTGCAAAGTTTCACGTCATTAAGGTAGCATACAGGCATGGCTCCCATACAAAAATCCAAATTTTTTGTGATTTTTTCAAGGAAACTGTATTAAAAATTGATTGTATCTCAAAACTAACGTCGGATTCGGTTTTCTCGTGCCAAAAAACCCCCCAATACATATTTTTGAGTGTTTAAGTCTACATTAAGTATGACTTTTGGACGAAAATTGGACTCTTTTTCATAGGTATCACTCCAGGCATGGAATTTTTTTCCATCAACCAAAGTCGCTCAAAATCTGATGATTTCTATTCCTGGGGACCCCCAATCATCCCGTGAAGTCAGATTTTAAATAACTTTTCTGGGGGGTGAGATAATCGATGGACAAATTTTGCGTACGGCGGACAACGTACGACGTACGACGTACGACGTACGACGTACGACGTACGACGTACGACGT